TGAAGCTGTTTGGTGTGCTTGCCACCAAACTTCACATTTAAAGGCTCTGGATGCAATCGCTGAAGACAGTGTGAAACACCTGCCGTAGTCTCATTACTTTTCCACAGATGTCTTATCTGTTCCTTTTGCTCTGTATTCCATTCTGTAAATACTGTATTAAAAGTTTATTTTTGGGGTGAAACAGATGTAAATGGGTGAGTTAGCATTCCCAATCTCTTGAAGAATCAGTTCAGTATTAGAAAACAGATATAACTCTAGAGAAGTAAGCATGGCCTTAGTAAGCATAGCCTTTTGGCAGAGGTTCAGCTCTGGAAAGCAATGTTTTTCTGTTGCCTTCTACTCCCTTGTACACACATCATAGAGATGAAGAGGAAGAGGCAAAGAGAAAATGAAAGAATAACTGTCTGGGGAAAAAAAACGCTTGGTTTAACAATGCAGTGTATCAGTGTTTATGTGAATAAGCCAAAACTGGGGTTGGGGTATGCTGTAGAAGTGGCAGCATGTGATGAAAGGTAAATCTGATCTTACTTGTAATTGCTATTGATCCATCTAATAATGCAAGAACGGATTTTTCTGTTTAATAATGGACTTTCTCAATAACTCTTTATATTTCTTGTCACCTAGTTCTGAAAAGAAAACATGCAAGGAACAAGAATCTTTGGATGAGAATTCTGTAATAACCTAATGCAGCAGGAGCTGATTCTTCCTGGGCTTAGTAACAGGAATTATAAAAGTACCACAGAAAAAGCTTTACTCTTGTTAATGAAAGAAGCAGGCTGGCAATTCCATTACATTCTATGGTTATATATTAAAGTCTTTTCAATCCTCTATAATTTGACCCTCCGTGTGGCTGACTAGTGCCATAGCTTCATAACTTCTTTCTCATGTTCTCAGCAAAATGTCAATATGGGAAATTTCTGTAGTTAGAAATGAAAGCATCTTAGTTGCTGAGACTTCTGTAAAATGTGAATAACTTGAAAGAATAAATATACCTTTATATTTATAATGAAAGCAAAATTTATACATTCTGATTTGATGAGTTTGGAAAAACATATGTCTAAATCCAGGAATGAAGACACAGTTATGCTAAGAGAAATATAGTAATTCTTAGCTTGATACTTTGAATGTAATTAGCCTTATATTAAAACATTTTTGTGCACACCCTGTACCTAAATTCAGAATAAGCTTCAAATCATTTCTTCACTCCTCCTGGCAAAGCCTTAGTTTTAATGGAGATTAGTATTATGTGGAAAAAGACCCAGCTGAAGTGTGAAGTCCAAGCATATATATGAGAAGTAAATATAACTGCCAAACCTAAATCTCTTGGCCAACTATGTGCCTTTGTCTCTTTGAACAGGAATTAATCTTATACTTGCTCAAAATGAGACTACACACTCTTGGGTTAACAACCTTTTGTCCTGTGAATCTGTAAGGAAAAGTGAATAATCATAAGAAGTGGAAACAATATGTTGAGGTGATAGTTTGCTGATCAGTCACGGATCTTGCACTGATTCCTGGTCTCCTTTGCAAAGCCTAAATAAAAGGCATTTGGAAGGAGTCACTATGTCAGTATTACTAGCAATAGCAACCTCCTCCACTCTCTGGAAGTGAGTTATGAAACATGAGCAAACACAACCTCTTATCTATTTCTGGAAGTCATTTTTGTATCTTTGTCCCCACCATCATCAGTAGCATCAAGGCTTTGCCTGATGGATCCTCACAATTGCAGATCTACCCTCCCACTGTGTTCCTCAGAGTTTTTAGTTTACTGACACAGAAGATGCTTTTGTTGAGCACTTCTCCATGACATGTAAGGAATGTGGATTCATGCTATGCTTTCTGTCCGGGGACTTTGCCTCTCACTAGCTATACTGCAGAACTATTTAAGTTCTGATATATTTCAGTTCTTCTAAAAAGGCAAGTAAAGGGCAGGATCTGGACCCTAATTCTAAAAGTGCTCAGGTTAGCCTTACTTCTAAACCATTTAATGGAGTATTTAAAGGCATATGAACCATAAATATTTTCTGTTAAACACATGCTACAGTGAATATGGTCAGAGGAAAAGTGAGATCTGGGCATTATAGACTGGGGAAGTAGGACTGCTGCCTAAGTTTATAAAGAGTTTGGGTTTCTCTTCCCAGTTTTCCTTATGTGTGTTTGGATCCTAAGACTGAAAGTTTTATCATATCAGTTAATAACCAAGGATTAAGAATAAATGGTTTGTATAAGCTTTAGAAAATTATCCTGGTAAACTTAATCAGCTGTTTAATATGAGGTCAAATTCTTAGTATTCTAACATGACATGAGGTCAAATTCTTACTATTCCAAGCCTCAGTGCCAGAGCACACATGAGCAGATTGCTCCACTTTTGAACAGGAACTTACCTTTCAGTGTATATGCCATCTGGGTAACACTTAAAGTAACACCATAATGGCTATCTAACTAGAAAGTTTATAGGATTCCTTGTGTTGAATTTGCCTGTTTATTTTTTTTAGTGGATAGATGTTGCCTGGTAAATTTTAATCTCACTTCCTGACTGCTTTTCATCTCTAAACTTGATCTTAATATTATTTTAGATTAGAGACCAAATCCATCATATATTTTGTAAATCTAACTTTACCGTTATCTAAAGCAGCTGTACATTTATTAATTACAATACACAGATGGGACTCACCAAACTGTAACCCATGGTCTTCCCTGAAATAGATTTCCATAGCTCATCAAGAAATTAGGACAACAAAACTTGATTTTGTGCATGGAATCCTATTTCTGTCTCATTATTCTGCTTTGTAATTACGAGCTACTCTCAGTGCTCCTGACTGCCTACCTGCTTCCCATGTGTCTCTCAGGCCTCTGAAGAAGGCCTTATTAAATGTTTGTACAATACCTAGTATGATAGGTCCTCTGACTGCTGCTGTTATATAAAGAGCAAATACCAACAATAATAACTCTTCATTGTAATACAACCTATAAATATATGCGTGGAAGAGAAACATTTTCAAAAAAAAGAGGAGCCTTACTGGGATCCAAAGGAATTCTCTTTTGTTGTCAAATTAAAAAGAATCCTCTTTAAAATTTAAAAAATTAAGTTAGTCTCTATCTTTCTCTCTTTCTCTCTCTCTTTGATTTGGGGAGTTTTAATGACTCTCTACTATATTAATAAAGTCTTTAAAAAAGCAAATAACATTCTGGAAGAAGCTTATGTAGATCAACCCCTGTTTAAAGCAGAGTTAATTCCAAAGATTAGATTTGATCAGATTAAATCTCCCAGGGCTTTGTGTTCTTGCAATCCATCTCTTTCTGGCTGGGCAAGGAAGTTCTTTTGGTGGGTATAAGGCACTTATTCAAAAACGGGGATACTGGGGAAGCTCTGTGTGTGGCAGGTGAGACCAACTGATCAATGCATGAATAGAGGAGGCACTAGAACTATGTTTTCCCTGACTTAACATTAATTTGGCTCTCAGGAGCAAATTAAAGATATATATATATATATACACATATAAATAAACTCAGAAATTGGAAAAGTGAAGAGAGCTGGGCTCCATCTGAGCAAATGTATGACTGGGCTGCTGTAGGTAGGCTATGGTCATGTTTGCAGTACAGCTCTTTCTGTAAGTCTGGTGAGTGTACTGAGTCACTGGGGGATGATTTGGATTTGGAAATTTGTCTGTGGGTCATGGCAATAAGAAGATGGTGGGAAATGGAAGTGAAAACTGAGGAAGAAGTGGGAAATAGTAAGCAATCTGTAGGGCATAAATATATAGCTCCTGTGTACCTTATTCATGTCTCCACTTTTGGCATTGCAAAGTTACTGCAGTTACTAGAATACCTTGGGTGGTCCCAAATCTTCATCCATTACCTTGTCACAAACTTTTCATGGCACATGTATATATAGTTGATCCTTGGCTAACATTGCTCTTTACTCTTGTAATTTCTTGGTGTTTACCTCTCTGATGGTGTGTAGATACAGACAGCTGTCACCTCCCCTTTCACCATTTATTCACTAAGCCTTTAGTCTCCTCTCATAAAAGAGGCTCTTTAGTTCCCTTATCTCCCCTGCACCTGTTGCAACTCATCCTAATTGAGCTTTATGAGGACAACAGACCTGTTTCAGAGGAGGTCATGCCAGGGTCCATCCAGACCCAGTGACATGCCCCTAGTCCGTGAGCAGTTCACGCTATTTTGACATGCTTTAGCGATGCACTTGGCAGTCCTGGGGTAACGGCTGGACTTGATCCTAAAGGTCTTTTCCAACCTAATTGATTCCATGCTTAATTTGATAATGCAGATTTTATCTGGAGCTGTCAGGAACTGGGTCTTCAGCTAGTTTAGTCATTTCCAGTTTCCAAGAGTCCTCGCAGTGGGAAGCAGCACCTTTTTAAAGGCCAGGGGCAATTAATGCTACCCATTTTTTGCAGAAGCTCTTCAGGAAGGCAGTAGGAGACAGCACAGTGGGGAGCAGTGCTGGAACCCACGTGTGTATGTGGAAATTCGATAGGGAAGGGTTGGAACCTTGCATACAGGAGCTGTTGGATTGGTCCCCTTACCCCCAGCTGCACATCGAGTGTGAAACATATCACCAATGGGTCTCCTGTGGATAGACCCAGCCTTTCCAGACCTGATGCTGGTCTTACGGCAAACAGGCTTTCTGCAAACCACCATAAAAAAAAAAAAAACAAAACAGCCAGACCTGTATGTAAATATAATTTCAGAAGTCAGCCAGGCAAAGCTTCCTGGTTTATGTGTGTTCCTGTCTGTGTGTGTACACACATATGGATCTCGTTTGAACTGAACACTGTACCTAGTTCTGGATATTAGTGCTTTTCCACACTCGATGTTCTTGGCGCCGGGGCAGGCTCCTTTCCCCTCACCCACTGTCCAGGGCGGGCTCCTTTACCCGCAGCCCCGGCACAAGCACGACCATGTTTTCCTACCGGATCCCCCCACAGCGGGAGCCCCTCGACCCCCGTCCCCAGCAGCAGCTCTAACGCGAATCACCCGGCGACCCCGGACGCCTCACCACAGGAGCTACGGGCGGGCAGTGTGAAGCGGAGCGGCTCTGCCCGCCCCCGCCGGCCGGGGCAATGCGGTCCCTCCCGGGTAAGGGCATGGAGTTTGCGTGAGTCTATAAAAAGCTGCCTTGAAAGGAGGCCGCCGTGCTGCCACAGCCGCCGGGAGAGGCTGAGGCGCTGCGGCGGCGAGACCGGCACCATGATTAACCCCAACTACTACCCGTGGGGCTACGACAGCGACAACGGTGAGTGGGGCCGCTGCCCGGCTCCGCTGTGCTGCCAGCTGGCGAGCACAGCCATTCACGAATGGGGGGACTGTGGGCACCAGGCGGGCCTGGGTCGTCACTCGCAGGTGTGGAAGAGGAGAAGCAGGAAGGAGAGGCCTTGCAGAGAGGTCTCTAAGTTAAATAAAGTCAGTTTTCCTACTGTTAATGTAATTTAACATTTGACAGAGCTTTGAAATCCAGCTTTAGGTTAGCCTTGCTGCAGGAGTAGTAGTGCTTGCCCACAGCGCAGACACCATCCTTCCTGCCTGCAGAGGCTGTAAATCTGGCCTCAGTCAGGCTTCTTCCACATTAAGTTCTTGCTAGAACTGTGACGATAATTAAATCTATGTGGCACATTTCTGCCTTCTTTAGGTATCGATGGCCTTTTCTTTCTCCAGATGGTTGCTTGGTGCCACATTGGAATCATACCATCATAGAAACAGGAAATGGTTTAGGTTGAAAGGAATAAAAAGATGTTCCAATGCCCCTGCCATGGGCAGAGACACGTTCCACAAAAACATGTTGCTCAAAGCCCCATCCGACCTTGCCTTGAACACTTCCATGGATAGAGCATCCACAACTTCTCTGGGCAATCATTTGGGTATATCCCATCACATGTCTAGCTACTGGTAGACTTAGAGCGTGCTCCTCTAGTTTCCTTCCTTGATGTATTGTCAGTCTCCTGATAAGTAAGGTATTATGGTTGCTATGAAGGTTTAGGTTCAGTTGAATGACTTGCAGTATCCAGGATTTCAACTAGAATAATCTTAATTGCTACACCAATTATACAGTGAAAATCTGCACATGGCCTAACAACCAGACTATTAGTAACCTATTTATTAGTACATTTAATTGGTGTTCTGTAGCTAGGTAAAGCCAAGCTTGCATTTAATTGTAACATTAAGTGTAATTCATACCTAGCTGGAAAAGGTTGTCTTGATGTTTCTCTGGCCTTCTTTCTAGGACCAGATCAGTGGCACAAAAATTACCCGATTGCCAAAGGACGCCATCAGTCACCTATTGAAATCAATAACAAAGAAGTGCATTATGATCCCTCCCTGCTACCATGGTTTGCTAGTTACGATCCTGGTGCAGCGAAGACCATCCTCAACAATGGGAAAACCTGCAGAGTTGTATTTGATGATTCATTCGATAGATCAGGTTAGTTTTGTTTTCATCTCAAGCTTTCATTATATATTAGTGACTATTTCTGAAGCTGGTTGGAGAGCAGCTCTGAATGCTCATGGCTGTCAGAAGGTCTCTGTGTATTGCTCATGTGTGAAGTGCAGGCTTCTGTGATGCCAGTGCTCTGCAAAACTGGTGGGAAAAGCCTGGGACCGATTTTAAAGGATATAGATAAAATCCTAGGGAATGGAGAGAGCCGCAAAGAAGCTTGGTGAAGGGTGAATTAAGGTGTAAGGTAGATTTCTGAACTTCCAAAAGTCATTGCAGTTGTCTTGCTTTCCAGGAGCAAGGAGTCCAGGTACTATCTAAGGATCAAATTCCATTTAAGCTATTTGAGGTGCCCAGCAAAACACCTTTAACTGTGTATCTGGCTGAAATTACAGTATTTGTAAACTGTACCCATGTAATTTCTGATAAATGAAGTAATGAACCATATGTTGCCACTAAGTCATGGTATTTAATCAGTTAAAACTCTTCGGCATTCATGAGATTTTGTCTTAATAAATTTTATTAGGCTGAAAATATCCAATGTTTCAGATTCAATGTCCAAAATCTTATATCCACTTGTAATTATGACAACAATGTGCTGCATATATAATGCATATCTTTTAAGGGTTACTGAAGTATATATTTTAAAGAGATTCTTCTGTTCTGTTTAACAGGTGCTAGAAATACTTAGTTTATGTTGGCAGAATCACCTACGTTTCATGTTAAATACTGTTGGCTATATTTCAAAGGAAAAAGCATTACTGAAAAGCATGAAATCGCATTACTATGGTGATAAAAAGAAAAATCAAATCCATACCTCACTCTTTAATTCTTGTATCAAGGTCAGCAGAGTTGTGTTGTTTTTTCTAGTACCTGGGATGGTAAAGAAAAGGAAAAAAAAATGTCAATTTCAGGAAAATATTCAAAGTTTATCTAATATAGTGTGCAGATTTATTTCTTAACTGCATTAAAAGCTTCAGTTTCTATTACAATATAACTAGGATTGATGCTATAATTACTAGGAATTTTACTCATAGTTTGGTCTTAAATATATATATGCATGGATTTAATTTAATGGATTTTTAATTACTGAGGTGGGTTTCATGAAGGTAGAGGATCAACATGTATGTAAGCTGAACTAGTTAGTACGCTATCAAAACTCAAAAATGACTGTGCGGTGAAGACTTTCATTAATTTTTGAGCAAAGTGGGAATCTTTAATGTTGTTTGAATAAAATACTAAGCATGATGCATCAGTAAGGAGGTGTAGCTATGGCTACATGGATAATGTCCATGACTGCTACTTGCCTTTTTTTACCATAGAATCATAGAATAGTTAGGGTTGGAAAGGACCTTAAGATCACCTAGTTCCAACCCATCTGCCATCCCTTGTATTTGTTTGGAACAGCATCAGATAGATCAGTGGTTTCATCTTCTGCGTAAATGTCAAAGTAATTATTGTTAGAATTACTCGGATTTTGCATAGGAGGGAGTATCCAAGCTCTACAATCTGCAGCATGGATCCAACACTAGCCACAAAGAGCAGAAAGTTTTGAAATGTTCTGATTTATTTTTTTTTCAGATTAACTTCTGAGTAACTGTTGTATTCTGATCTCAGAAATAAAAAATTACTCACTGGAAAAAAGGTGTAGTTCTCAGTTCTTTGAAGGCAAGAAACATTCAGTGTTTACTGTTATGTTTCCTTTGTTATACTATTGCCTGCAGAGTCTGTGGGTGGTGTTCCTTCTCTTAAGATAATGCTAATTGCAGGACTAATTGCACTGTGCATACTCCTACTGACTTGAGCATGTTTTACGTTTTTTAAAATATGTACAGTGATTTATTTTTTTGTGTAGAGGAATAACCATCTGCATAATACATACATACGTAATAGCAATCTTGTAGGAATGGAGCTTTTATTCCTCTGGAACAAAAACATTTTGTCTCTATCTGTCTGTATCTCTCTGTATCTCTCTCTCTCTCTATGTATATATACATATATATATATATCCTATCTATCTGAATTATTTCTGAGTTAACCAGAAAACTAAGGGCTTCCTTTTTTTCCTGATGTTTTCAGTTAGAGTGGTCATATTCATATACGTAGTTCTATCTAGATTTTCACTGGTGGTAGATGAAATAGGTTGCTGAATAAATTGCAAACGTGAATGGTAAATCAGATTGCTTTGGACGTCTCCAAGTTTTACTTCCATTGTGTCTTCTCTGATAGGAATACTTTGAATATTTGCCATTAGGACAGTTTCTTAAACTCAAATTATTAGAGAGAAGCTTCTGGGGAAAACTGCCATTCAATGTGATTCACATTATGTTGAAAAAGGCCTTATTATTGTTATCTTTGGAGTTAGTCTAGTGTAAGTAATTGAAGAATTTTTTCTACAGCTGTTCATAAAGTCTGGTTGACTTTAAGTATCTGTTACACAGTTGAAGGCTTTGATGACAGATACTTGCTTTAGGTGCTGTGTCCTGCTTTAGCTGCCTGTCCATACAAGTTAATGGATTGTTGCAGACTCAGTTCCCCATTTAACCGTACCTATGTGGAAGAAAAACTGTAAGCACTGTAAGGTCATTTCAGGTGGAGGCTGGAGTCTCAAAATCCAAGAAAGAACTGGGAGCTGTATTCAAAACCTCTTAGGTGGCTGTGCCGAATAAAACCCTTACTAGAACTTGGTTACTTTGTCAGCCTACCACTGCTATGTTTTTCAGCCTGAATGGTAACTCAGACATTCTTTTAGATCCAGCAGTGACTCTGGTTTTGTTTTGAATTAGGGCTGCAATCTTACTTCTACTAGGACAGTCCATTTGCTTTTAAAATTCAAATAGTATTCATGCCAGAGAAGTGTCCTGAGAGCACCTATCTGGTGGAACCATTGTCATGATGCTGTGCGAGATATATAGCTTGCAACTTTCTTACAATTAATGACTCGTTGGCTTTCTTTATAGTACCTTGGTTAGATGGCTAGATCAAGATGTTCAATCATTTAATAAACGTAAAGATATGTAATCTTGTATTGGAATCCAGGCATAGCAACTGAGGAGAGATGCACTAAGGCTATGTCAAAGGGATGCCTTCTTTCATCTTCTCATTTTGTTGTTTTTGTTGTCTCCGTGGCACTTTCTATGGAGGTTCATTGGCCAGATTACTACTTTTAGTGACTTTCTGATTGTTGACATTTCAGGGCTTGGAGTACCTCAGTGCAGGCACACTTTCTTACAAGGCTATTTTGATAGTGTCTGCAGAATCTTTAATTTTCTTATCAAAGGAATGTGTGCCTTTGGAAGTGGATGATGGATAAAATAATTTAAAGTGACAGTTACTGTTCCTTATTCATATCTTTTAGTATGACTTATGCTTGTGGAAAGCACTTCATAGAGTACCACTTTGTGGGAAATCTCACTTATCTTTGCAGGTGAGATTTTGATTATCAGCTTCTGGTGAATAAACATTTATTTGTTGGTTGGCTCTAAAACAATGAGGACAAACTCCATAAAATTTAATTAAAACTAGGAGAAGTCTGTCTATAGATATACAGCTTTTGGTTGATTCCTGCAAAATGTTGCTTAACATTTTGTGTTCTGACCTCATAGCAGCTTTCCAGTATCAGAAGGGGGCCTATAGGGATGCTGGAGAGGGACTCTTCGTTAGAGACCGTAGTGATAGGACAAGGGGTAACGGGTTAAAACTTAAACAGGGGAAGTTTAGGTTGGATATAAGATGGAAATTCTTTCCTGTTAGGGTGGTGAGGCACTGGAATGGGTTGCCCAGGGAGGTTGTGAATGCTCCATCCCTGGCAGTGTTCAAGACCAGGTTGGACGAGGCCTTGGCTGATATGATTTAGTGTAAGGTGTCCCTGCCCACAGCAGGGGGGTTGGAACTAGATGATCTTAAGGTCCTTTCCAATCCTAACTATTCTATGATTCTATGAATTTACACTGGAAAAAGCCAGTATCCATTACAAGAATAGCACAGCTAAATCCCAGTGCTTGTGTAGCTGCGGTACAACGGCTATGCTGCATATCACAAAAGGCAGCAAAGTTAAATTCTTCAGTGTTTGAAACATCTACTATATGTAGTGTCTCGTGAAGGTACTGAGAGTTACTATGAGCACTGAAAAGCTTGAGTACAGAGAATTTAGGAGGTCAGTTTCTGTTAACTTTGAATTTCCATTGTTAGAGATAAAAATGCTTGAACAGTCATGGGTTCAAGCTATGCAGTTACACAGTGCAATGTCAGTTTTTTGCCTCTGGAGATGGGGATTTCAGCCCTGCCACAGATCACAAACAAGGTGGATGGAACATTTCTCCAATGAGGAAAGGCTGAGAGAGTTGGGCTTTTTCAGCCTGGAGAAGACTCAGGAGACCTTAGAGCACCCTTCCAATACCTAAAGGGAATGTGCAGGAAAGATGGGGAAAGTCTTTTTAGGCAAGGCCTCCTGTGAAAGGATGAGGGGTAATGGTTTTAAATTAAGAAGGGAGATTGAGGCTGGACATAAGGAAAGTTTTTTTACAGTGAGGGTGGTAAAACACTGGCACATCTTGCCCAGGGACCTGGTGGATGCATCATCCCTGGAGAGACATTCAGGGCCAGTCTGGATGTGGTTCTGGGCAACCTGAGCTAGTTGATGATGTCCCTGTTCGTTGCAGGGGGTTTGGACTAGATGACCTTTGAAGGTCCAACCCAAACTGTTCTGTGATTCTATGAGTTGGGAGCTGACTGATGATCAACAAGGCACAGAACTGGAAAAGGTGTGTTACAGTGCATGTGAGGGTGGATTGCATGCTGACAGACTTCTGACAGACACTTCTCTTTCCCAGTCTGTCCCTATAAGTTCAAATACAAACAAAAGTAATTCTTCTGCATATCTGTTCAGTGCTTGCTAAAGAAAATTTCAGTGAGAACTGAAATCTCAGTTCCAAAAGCTTTTAGGAAAAGGATTTTATCTCTGCAGTTAGCCAGTACAGAGATCCTCTTTTGAGCAGAGGATTTTTATAACATCTAAAATGTGGCACTGACATTAAAAAAACTGTGAGTTTTATAGTGCACTGTTAGATTCTGTTATAAAGCAGTCTGACAAAGGTAATGTGTCTTTTTCAACTGTCATGCAGTAATACCTTACTAATTTAGTTTTCCTATGGTTTACCAGTTCACTTTATGGATTTGGCAGGATGTGAGGATTATAAATCTTGTATGAACAGTTATTTCTTCTCATGTGTTTATAAGTACAACTCACCTCATGAGTCTGGTGCTCCTTATTGTGATAAACACATAAATGTATTGGCTTTTGCAAATCATAGGTATTGCTATGTGGATATAACTGTATGAGTTTGCAAAGCTTGCTAAAGACACAAGATTAGACAAGTTGAAAATGGTCAGAACTCTTGAGCAAAATGGAGTCACATAGCAGAGAATTTGTAAAGGTAAAAGAAAGGGGGGGGGGGCTGGATATGAGGAAAGCTAGTGCCTGGAAAACATAGGGTTAAAGTACTTTTAGCTTAACTTAGGTCGGAGGTAAAGAACAATGTTTATGTTGTAAGTCTGTGGAATTTAGTGGCCCCACTAAACATGAGTAAATTATTTCACACCATCCTTCTACTTATCATTTAGTTTAGAGACAGTGCCTCCCAAACATCTGCTAGCTTGGGATACTCCTTGTTTGCTCATCCTGCAATAAATTTTGCAGGAAGGTCACACTGTTCTAACCCTTTGCCAGCTATCAGAAAAATTACGGGTATAGCTGGTTTCAGCTAGTTTTGTGATTACTGGGGCATCCAACTGTGCCAAAGGTGAAAAGTACATTGTGAGGAAGACTGCTTACTTCATTCTCAAGACCCTTGCCCACAATCACTGGAGAGCAGTGCGCAGACGCCAAGAGGAGGAGACTTATGATAATAAGTTCCTGGAGCTAGTTATAATATTCCCCGCCTATACGCAGGAATTATGAATATGTATATGACTCATGCAATAGTGAAAGTATATAAACCTGTAACAAATGCTAATCAGTACGCTTCTGGCTACGGTCATATGCCCAGCCCTGTTGCTTTTGCTTTATTGACTTTGTCCCTCAATAAAACCCTGTTATCTCCATTAGAGGAGTGAGCTCATATTTCACATTTATGTTTTTCCACCTGACTTTGACAGTATGCTTTCACAGCAAACAGGGAAGGCATTTGTGTAGTCATTACTTTGTCAATTTTACCTTAATGAGGATAGAGACAACTGACATTAGCGCAAATTAACAACCAGACCCCTACCTAAGATGCTCAGCAAGTAGATGCACGTATTCCCTAAACCTTCTTGTCACATTTCTGTTGTTAAGGACACCCTGCTAACTAAGGTGGAATGGAGTGGCCGTCTCCACTCAAACCACATCACACATTCATTTTGCTGTGTAAACATGCAAAGTGAAATACAGAGGTTTTTTTCTTACATTAATTGCATCCTTCTGTCCAACACCTGCCCTCTCTTGGACAAACATCTGCCTCAATACATCATAAACAGAGCAGCATGAGACAGAACTGGCTAATACGTGGAATGAGTGGAGTGACTCCATTGAGAGTGGAAAAGAAACATTCTTTTATTAGCCAGTTCTGTCTCATGGTGCTCTGTTTATGATGGATCAACTAAAAGGTGATTTTTTTTTATTTTTTTTTTACTGGGACAGATGTCTATGTATGTGTCCATGTAGGATTGCTCTGTGGTTGACCATTCTTCTGTGTGGAAGGGGAGAACATGGAATTTGAGCAATGATTCAGACTGATATGACATTTTTATGTCTGGTATCAGGCACTGCGGAGGGTGATGTGTAAACCTATATAAAAAGATTCAGTCACCGAGCTATGGCTTGATAGGTTGCATTGACAAGACACCAAAAAGGAGAGAATACTTTTCTCCCTTGCCTTCTGGGCTGGTTTGTGTATTCCTGCAGCTGGGACATGCTACTTCAATGACAGCAAGTTTGAAGGAGTTACATTTTGGTAAGTCCGCTATGGCCATCCTGTTGTTTCCTGAAGAGCAGAGATTGGAACAGAAATGTCATGTTTCCAATATTCAGAAGTAAGACCAGCCATTCAGCTAGCTGTGTGAAAAGGATTACACAATATTTCAGAGGACTAAGAGAAAAGCTGCCCATATATCAGGGAAGGAAATGAGCCTGCAGGCTCTTTTTTTAAAAGCTCTTTTTATTTCATTGAGTGTCATAGGCAGAAGCTCAGAGTTAAGTCATGAGGCCTGCTAGAAAAGCATCTTTTACTAAGTGTTTTGTGCTAGGAAAACAGTTATCACAGCCCTAAAACTGCGAGTCTCAGTTATATGAGTATTTCCTATGAAATAATTGTTAGACTAATTCCCTGATACATATAAATATGTAAATATATAAAAATAAAGCTATATTTTAACACCACTGAAAAACAAAGATACTGTAGTTTCTTTTATAAACTTTTATAAACTTTTACTTCATATTTTACTTTATTTTTTTTCCTAACTGTTTCTAATGTGTATTCATGTTAGTATTTTCTGAATACAAAAATCCAAGAGGATAAAGATACCTTCAGAATTTAGGTTCCAAGCCACACGTTTTTAAAAAAATAAAGATTTCTTTTACTGTCTTTGAGCTATGCAGGCGTACTTTGGGATTTTTTATGTTTTAGATATTGGAGAAAGTCATTCTTGCAACTGTTTTGTTTACCTTCTTTAAAATATAGCAAAATTTAATTACATTGTAATCATAAACATGTTTTTCCATGATTTACACTACTCACTTGCAATTAAAAGAAAGAAAATGCCTTTTTGCCCCGAGGAGATGGTGGTTTATAGGCATCTTAGTATTTGCTTCATTCTGTGTGCTAAGTAAAAGCTGCTGTTTATAGATGCATGAAACAGGAATGTGTTGGCACACAGTGATGCAGAGCTTCACCTAATGCCCAGTTGAAAAGTGTCTGATGCTGGCCCATCAGTGGAAATAATGACACATTTTTACCTTAAACTGGATTATTTGGTCTTACAGATCTATTTTAATGGAGAATTGATGGCCTTCTCAGCTGCTATTGTCACTGTGTCTGCATTGGCCATGGTACTGAACATCCATGGGAACAAGTAAAGGGAAGCTGTTGATAATAGCAGCTTGCTCTTAATGTTCGGTAAAGAATACTCTTGGTACGTTATTTCTGGAGATGATAGTGGATTTCATTCCTTTTTAGATTTAAGGATATTTTTCTCTAACATATAAAAGACCTGCTCTTGAGAACTGCGGAATGGCTTATAAGGATGTTATAACTTCTGTCTCCAAATAAAGTGAGTGAGGATTGAATATTAATTAGTATTTGGTGAATGTAAAAAGTTCTTCCCTTTTATTGTGAGACCATTTCAAATACATCACCTTAATTTAGGATATAATGTAAAAATGTGTAAAAAAATGTAAAAGTTTATTTAGAATACAGAGTATTGTTCATCACAGGCTGAACTCTTCTTTAGGGAAATAACTTGCATTCTCAGAGCTTGCTTTTCTGGCTCATTTGCTGGTTTTATTTTCCTTTTCCACTGCTGAAGGGTGCAGCTATTATAGCAGAAGCAGCATCAGTAATGTCGTTGCTTTTAAAACAAATAAATCATAGCCTGCAGTAAGGGACAAAACTTGTGGTGTTTTGTGGGAGTTTATCATCTAGTCCTTCAGTAGCTGATCTTAATCACGGCTATTTTTGTTTGCTTTGATATAGGTAGATATTACATGGATTTCAGGGGAAGATTAAAGCATCTAAATTTAGGTGGTTTATGTGGGCTTTTAAAAGTAGGTGGGTTATATCTCTAAACATTCTAGTCAACAGAGATGCAGCCACACTTAATCAGTGGAGTCCAGAGAGCAATTCAGGTCACCATATGTTGAGTATCTACCTTAAGGCAAACAGAATTAACTCTAGAAGGTTTACTGTTCTGATTAGGGGCTTACTTCCCAAACATAGGTATCCCATGCTATTTTTGATAACCCAGTGTACTCACCTTGCCTCCAGATACTGCTTTAGAAAAGTACAGTTCTACAAATTTTCAACCACATCTTCCAGAGGTCCAGGTGTATTCACAGTATCCCAGAAGGTACTAGAGTCACATTTATGCAACTGCATTAAAACAATGATCTCTATTAACTGTAATGGAAGCCTAGACACAAATAATTTTCATCTGCCTGTAAGTGCATATAGCTGAAGATGGTTTCCTAGAGTGCTGCTAAAATCAGTGCAGAGTTACTTAGTACTCTCAGAACATATAGCACCTGTAATAAATATTTTTAATACATATATATTTCTTTTAAAATAATTGGAAGATACTTGAGTCTAATGCTGTTGCAGATTATCAATTGCAGTGCTGAGAGGTGGGCCACTTCCAGGAGTCTACAGGCTGCGCCAACTTCACTTTCATTGGGGTTCGTCTGATGACCATGGCTCTGAGCATGTTGTGAATGGAGTGAGATATGCAGGAGAGGTAAGACTCACCACTTTTTTTCCTTTAAAACAGGGTGTAAAATAACATTTGTCATTAGTGTTCAGGTGGGACAAAATTTGTTATTTGTCTGCTTTTCAAGGAGTTCTCTATTTATTTCTAGCTTTCTGTCTATTCTTACTCCCACTGAGTCTTACGAGTCAGGTTGAAGTAATTCTCACTAAGGAAGAATACATGTGAAACAAAAGTTTCCATGTTCTCAAACCAAAGTGGCTTGAAGCGCAGGACAGCAAGACTGAATTACTGAGAAGCAGTGCAAACTTACTAAGCAGTATTCTGAAAGTATAGTGGTATAGCAGATGGTAGCAACAGAAAGGAGGAAGAATGTGTTGCTTTGATTTTCTGCCACTTGGGGATAATAAGGGAGAATGAGAACTGTAGACTAATAGTATGCAGTTCTTACATTCATATGGGTTCTTTGCTAGAATTACTGTAATTTGAAAGCCAAATGGAAATGAATCACATATCACTAGATGACTTTTGAACTGCATGTTCTGCCTGCTTACTTAAGTATCTTTTCTGTGTTCTTCAGCTTTAAGATGAGATTTCTGTTCTTTTTTGCAATTTCTGTATTAAGATGTTTATAGTGCATTTTAAAGCAAATAGTAGCCTAAGTTTAAATATATAACTTATATATGGATTGCTGTCCATTTTTTCTTTTTTTTTTTTCTGAGGGTCTAATCCTCATTCCTTGTTGCACCAAATGCTCTTAACATATATGATGAACTCTAAATTCAGGCTCTGATGGCTTGCTATTCAATAATGGATTTTTTTTTTTCATGCATTTCTTTGCTTCTAGCTACACTTATTACACTGGAATCCAAAATACAGTAATTACCTTGATGCTGTGAGAAGAACTGATGGAATAGCTGTTCTGGCCATATTTTTGCAAGTAAGTAGAAGCATACAATGCTTATTTGTAATGCTACTATAGAGTTTTCTATTCTTACAGGCTTAAAAAAGCAAAACCCTCTGAATGTTTTCTAGGGATCGAACCACGCTGAAGGACTTGACTTTCAGTAATGCATGGTTTTCAAGTTTCAGAGCCTGAGTCATGTTATTTCAAAGGGTATCCAATACTACACACACTTGTCCCAGCAGCTATTGTGTCACTATGTGAGTGGTGGAAGCTGTAAATCCAGATGTATTTGTCCCTGCTTTGGGGACACAATGTCAGGAGTGGCTCTCTGACCAGTAGCAGTCAGCTGTCTCTATGCTAATCATAGTCTGATTTCAAGGACAGATATAGCTTCTAGGCTTTTCATGCACTTTCTACCAGCAGAACTAACTCACAGGCAATACCAGTATCTTATTCTTTTCTAAAGTCTTTGGGGGCATGCAGTCTTAGACTGAAATATTGGCCTTTGCTGTCTCTTGTTTAACTGATATTCACTAGGGATAGAAAGATGGATGTCTATGTTGAGATCAGCAATTGTAGACAGTAGATCTGACCATGAGAACTGTTTTTTTAACTAGACTAAAACTTACTCAATTTCTGTACTTGAGTCTGAAGAGTTAATTATCTTTGTTAGGCTAAAATTTCATGTCAACAGGAATCACTGTATTATAAAATTACCCACAATGCTGAGTTTCTATACTGATATCATTTCTTCATTTGGATCATAATATCTGTTTGGGTATAGACAAAGGCTACAGGCAGAAGACCTAGCTTATTAGGCTGTTAGGGGTGATAGGTGTGGTTAATGAATTATAATTTTGTAGTTGATACATGTTTAGATGCATATAAAACAGGAGAAAGAAGAAAACTGATTGAACAGAAATCTGGTTAGCTGGTGTTTCTTCTCTACAGGTAGGGGAAACTCCCAAACCAGAGATGAAGAGAATTCTTGAGGAAATAAATGCTATCAAAACAAAGGTAACCATATTGGGCTTCTCATTATAGCGAAATTGCTGAAAACCATCAGGACAGAAAAAAAAAAAACACCTCAGGAGTCATGACTTTCTAGGTTTCAAATTCTGCTCTGCAACATTGCCATAATGTATTTGTGAATAAAACCATGGGTAGCTTTTCCTTAACAGTATAAGTCCTTCCTTCCATTTACGTATGAGCCTTCTTTGGCTTTAGTGTGCCTCATGATTTCGTGAAAATGAGAGTCATCTTGCCAAATTTTACACCTAAAAAGTAGGCATGGAGTCTTATTCCCTCAGTCATCAGTGACAAAAGAAAGGCACCTTTGGAAATTGGTCCATTCTTTCCTGAAATATGCTGCCTAATGGACCTTTGTAAATGCTGCTGACTAGACATCTGTGTCTCAGATAACATTATGTGATAAGAATGTCATATTTTGTAGGCTGTCTTGTTTGCTATTAAATATTTTAAATCTGGACTACCTGTCTCACTTCATTATATAGTGACCTAATCCAGTGTTCAGTAGATAGACAGAATTTCCATAAGAAAGGAGGCCAGAAGGAAGAGTATTTCTGCAGAGAAATGACCAAAACACATCTGGATGCTGTTTCACATGAGCTAGCTCAGGTACAAGAAGTACCATTATGAAGTTGTTTGTCGTGTCATGCTCCTCTGAGCCCGTCTGTGAGGGTCATTCAGCCCACTTATCTTTACACTGCAACACTATGTCTTGTGTAGATGTGTGCTTAGATTCCTTAGTTCGTATCTATGAAGTACCTGAGCCACTCTGTTTCTTAAAATACCAGAGCTGCATCTTTACCTAATCCTGACTGGAACTGTTGAAGACTTTTCTGTTTGGTTTTGTCTTATTTGTTGGTTTTGTTGTGTTTTTTTTTTCTTAAGGGGAAAGAAGCTCCTTTTCCAAACTTTGATCCTTCAATTCTTTTCCCTAAATCTCATGACTACTGGACATACCATGGGTCTTTCACTACTCCACCTTGTGAAGAGTGCATCACCTGGATTATTCTGAGAGACCCTATTATAGTCAGCTCAGACCAGGTAAATTTCAAATAGATAATATTTTACCCACTTCTTTTTAGTTACATGTCAACCTGATGCAGTGGGACAGCCAGGTACCCTAACTGCTTTGCACACTGAATAAAGCAGGAGTCCAGTGTTCTCACCTTATGCAGCTGAGCATTTCCAATTCTGAACATCCTACTTTGCAAGTGTGTCTCTTATAGCATGCTTCTTTCAAAAACATCTTCTATCAGAATCCAAATTTAATGGAATGGGTGATTCTCTTTGCCACATATTCTAGATGGCATCATGGAAACAAGAAAATTACAGAAGAGCTGTATCAGGTTCTTGATACCCATATTTCTGTAAGGTACACCAGCTACTGTGTACAAATACAATAGAAAGACTTTCCTCACTGCAGAGTGCCTGCAGTCTAAGTAATGTGTTCATAAAAGAGGATTGTGTAACCAATTACTTCTAATCCTAGAAAGCATCCTTGGAAGTGTACTACCAGACAGCCTCATTAATAGTAATTATTTTAAGTGCGTGCACGTGCATTTAGAGTGGATTGCTGGGATGGTTTTGCAGCCAGATGGTAACAGTGTAATAGCCACAAGAGTAAGTGCAGTCACTATGAATCAGTACTCTGCAGGAAAAATCAATTCACTGGGAAACCCTTTGAGATGCAGAGTGGGTAGCCTAGCTGCTCAGATTACTCTTAATGAAAGGATAGGGATTTAACTGTGGAGTAACTATCCAATTGCAGACTAATTTTTTTCACCTTTAGCTGTAGTCTGAATATATGCCTCCTCCCTTCTTTTTTTTTTTTTTGCCAAGTAGGGCAGATCTTCCACAAATAGTAACAAAACCAGCAACTTCTGAATAGCACTTTATGAGTATTAACAAAACTGATCAACTACTTTCATGTCTTACTATTCCCATACAAATTATTCTTCATCTGAAATCTAATTTCAGATTAATAATCCATCTGATGCATATTATACTGGTTAGAAATGTGCCCTCATCATTGTTTAGGCAAACACCTGTCTTCTCTGAGCTGTGTAGTGAAGAGCAATGTTGAGATGCCTGAACTGGCTCAGCCCATAAACTAGAATTAGTATAGTCACAGTGGACTCAACTTTTACAGCACAGACAGAAGTTCTGCTTCTTTCAGACTTGAACTCTGTACCATAAAAGATAGGTACATCAGTCTGTTGAAGCTAGTGGCAAAGTTGATGTGAACCATGCATGGGGCTACATTTTCAAGTGCACACATGGGAAAATGTGTGCATGCTTTTAATGGTAAGCCATTAGACAAGGAAGTATCAAGTGTCTGAATCACTGCTGCCATGTTATCTAATGTTGTTCATGGCAGTGACAACAAATGAACATAATGTATCTGTGAGTAAGTATATGTGCTGTATCCCTTGAAAATCAGAAAGCAGCAGAGGAAGAGCATTACACAGTTTTGAAGAGGATGGGCAGGACTCTTTGTACAGTATCCTTCAAAAAAAACCCATACCTTGGTTAAAAAAATGGCCAAGGAGAGTCAAGCTTCAGACCTTGTTCACAAACCATCTGAAACCAAGTCATTATCCAGATTTTCATTCCTTTTATCAATAATCAACCTTTTTGTGTCACTACAGTAGAATATATCCTCTGCTGCAGACCCAGCATGGAAGTGAACAATTAGTTTATAATTCAGCGCTAATGCATTGCTATTCCAGAGGCTTCTTAACAGGTACTGAGTCAGTAGAAAGGGTTTATTAGGGTATAGGCTGTTCTATTTGCATTATCTGAGGACCTCCTGCAGTTTCTATGGCTCTACACAGTTCTGTAGACAGTAGATAAATGACAGTATTTTTCACAGTCCTGTTCAGATAGGACCCATTTTTCCCATCTTGAATTTTTCTAATAATATCACTGCTAAGAAAAGAACATGAGTGCAGTTCTTGTGGTGATGGGGCAAGGGACATCTTCACAACTTTGATGTCTCCTTGGCTTAATTGTTGGGCTGTGGATTTGATCCCAAGGGCATCAGACACTGATTTCTGGTCTCCTGCAGATGGCGAAGCTCCGCAGCCTATCCAAGAATGCTGAGAATGAACCTAATCTTCCCCTGGTTGATAACTGGCGCCCAACGCAGCCTCGGTATTTCAGGATGGTGAGCGCATCATTCCTCTAGGACCTGGCTCAAGTTGGGTGTCCCTGAATGAAGGGACATCTGGAACTAAGAGATGGTTTTGGTTTGTGTCCTCTGTTGCATTTAGACAGAACTCCATCTGTAGGTCTGGAGGGTGAAATTTTGAGTCATGAAATGTGAATTTCACTTTCAGAGCATAATATTTACTTAGACAAATCCTATCATTAAAATGTAAGTAGAGAATCTGTTTGGGTCTTCATTACTGCTTTAGCATTAACTTTCATTAATAGTACAAAGGAAGAAAGAACATGCTACTAACAACTACAAAACCATTTCCTATTGCCCACATGTTGCTTGATGCTTGCCTTATTCCATGCTAAATAGGTTGAACTTAAGAGAATTGTTTTCAGCATAAACCCATGTTCTTCAGTAGCTGTTTTCAGCATTATCCATGTCCTGTTCTGAGCTGCACTAGTTAATGCACAAGGCATCCTTGTAAGTAAAGGAGAGCACTCTTTTGGTATTTTATACTCACATAAAATATGAAAGGACAGAAAGTTGCTTCATAACCATTGATAAAGAACTCAGCTTTTAACTTTTAAATAATGGACAGGTGAAACAGAGATCTGTTCTGAAAACTGTATTCAAAGAGTTATATGTAGTTAAAACTGTGGAAGGGAGCTGTTTCTGTTTGTATCACAATTGGTTGTCCATACTAGAAAACTAATTTGCATTTTAATGTAATAATCAAAGGGACATGGATTTTGAGTAGTGGATCTTCATATTTTCTTTGTGTATGCTAGTGGTTTTCTGTGTAAAAGGTGTTAGGAAGAGATCTTAATCTTTTTGTGTTGTTTTTTTTTTTGAGGCATATTCTCACTTTATTTGCAAATAAAGTCCTGCTATCAATGAGATTTGTGCATAAATGTCTGGAAACGTAGTTTGACTCTCCTGATGAAAATGCAGTTGGCCAGGGTGTACTTGTCTCTTGTTTTGACATAAAGAACAGTGAAACAGGATTGTAAGGCTATACTTGAAATAACAGTATTTCTGCATTAAAAAATTCAACAAAAATACATTTTTGTTCTGTTTTTTTGAGAAACATGTAAAAATAATGAAGTTTCAAAGAAAGACTTGTTAGTGCCTCTGTAATACATCTTCATGAAAATCAGTGATGGATTGTATCTTTTTCAGATGTTTGTTTGAACTGCAGGAGTACTGATAATATTTCATGTGACTGCAAGCGAGGAAATAGCATCTTAAATATGCTACATCATTCAGACATCCACATCTATTCTTTTAGTGAGATGACCCTATTCTGACAATGGCTTTCTTGTAATGGCATATGAATCAATTCCTTTGCAAGTTGATTCCACAGTGGATAAGTTCAGGCTGTATCTAAAACCATTAGTCTGAATGGTAATTTGCACTGAGCTCTGGAAATACAAAGCAGTTCTGCTGTGGCAATGGCTGGACTATTAGCTGCCATCTTCTAGGATAGGATGATGTTGCTGAGCTTGGTGGTGAGACAGGGCTTATGCTCCCTGTCTTCAGGTTTCCCACTGTGAAAGTTTCTGGACCATGTTCTCACTTTGCTTTCTTCCTTCAAACAGGTAGTGTTTTGGCTGGGAAATTTCACTTAGTCTTTGTTAGTATTTCCCATTGAATTTCCACATGGATTGCATTGTGTTTTTCATGTTTGCGCTTCACATTTGTAGCCATATTGAGATATGATTCAAATGAGTTAACATCTGTTTATGTTGGATGCACATATTGCTGACTGACACAGGTTGTCTTACGTACTTCTACTTACTCAGATGATTTGCACTAATAAAGTCTATGCAGGTCCCTATGTTTGAAAACATCCATTTTTATTTAAATACTTTATTAAATGTAATTTCTTCTCAGCTGGGTTGTTCTGGGAGAATTCAAAGCTTTGTATTTGACCACCAGTACCCAACACAGTATTAGATGTAGGGATAAGAACATGCTGCTCAGTTGTGCAGCAGAGGAGGGCTTAATCCATAAAGATTCCTTTTTCACATAAACTTCTATGTAAATATCCAAAACAGCATCAGGAAGTATTCTGTGTCTGGTAACTGTTACTCTGAATAGGAATGCAAGTCACAGAACATAACTGACGATGCACGGTTCTGAGAGAATACCCAGGGCTTCCTGCCTTCAGATGAAAATGGCAATTTCCTGATTTGTGAAAATATGAGAAAACAATATGATAAAACACCCTTCTACTTGCTTTTCTCCAGACAATTCTGCAGTACATATCTTTTTGCATATGTGTTGCCTGATTAGAAAAAGGAATTCTGAAGCAAAAATTATTTCTCTAAAATCGGTAATTTAACATGAATTCCAGTATGTGTTTTGTTTTTTTTTTTTATAGCCTGTTTCTTAAACTGGGTTGCATATCTTAGAGCAGGGTTTATCTTCCTTGCAATTTATGATATTGCAAATCTGGAACACGTAATCCAAGGGGTTTATTTAGTGATATGGTGGTCTCCCAGTTGCACTTTGCAAAGGAGCTATCTGGGTGCTGTAAATGAAACTGAGGTAAGCCTCATCCTCTAGAGACATGTTTATTAAATTTTAAACTTAAAGTCAGACTAATCTCTTTAAAGGAATTGTCATTTGACTTTTCATGCAGTTAGCTCCATAATACCTGTATTTATAATTAGTAAAAGGTAGACTAAACTAGGCTCAGGACTGTGTTGACTCAGTTGCAGATAGGAGAAAGTGTGTGAATATGTGGTTTAGTGGTTGTTTTACAGAGCCCCTTCCAGTGTTAATGGGACTGTCTGAAGTAATGATGACAAATTGAGGAAACAATGCTTCAGCAGGCATTGGAAAAAATTGGAAAGTGTAGGAGTAGAGTGACAAAGAATGGGGGGACACTTCAGGGGCACTATACTTTCAGCTTTAACTGAAAGTATAAGGAGATCATTAAGAATGTTGAAGGGAGGAAGGAAGGAAATGTGGGGTGCTGTGAGTCAGCATTTAGAATGCTTTCATATCTGATGCAATTTTCATTTTTCTCTGGCTGTATTCATTGTTATTTTACAGAGGTTCCCCCTTGCTTTTAGCTTGCAGCTTTCTGTAAGTAAAAGAAAAATTAATCACTGGTATGACTGAATTCAGGTCATTGTAGCAATGACATCCCACACATCTCACTTCTACACGCTCATTTCCACCATGCAGTGCAGTCCTATGCACTGCGAGAGCAGGGAGCCCTGCGTTCAGAAGCATCTGGTAAAAAGGGAAAACATCAAATTTTCATCTGGGTGGGCTAGAAAACAGTGAGTTACTACTATATTTGACTTGACATACCACTGCCTGATGATATGACTGATCAGTACTAATTAGGAGCCATCCCTCTGAAACAGAAGTGCAGACATGAGACATGCAGCCACATTGCGTAGCTTTTTGACAGCTTCTTCTCCAAGTTACTTTTTATCCACTACAGACACCAAAAATAATTTGACTTGGCCTAGCTCCGTGGTGCTGTGAGCTTTCCTGAGACTTGAAGCACTTTAAAGGGATGGCTGAACCTGTGTCTACATCACTGGCAGTCTTCAACATGAGCAAGAAAGTGTGCGTGGAATAAAATCACAGCTGCCATAGCACCAGAGACATGATAATGCTCGTCAACAATGAAAAGGAATTACCATCAATCTTAGGTAAGATCTGTCTAAACTTGGTCAGAGTAAAATATACCCATGGTAAACGTGGGAAGTCCATTTTCCCAGGTTGCTCATTGGGAACCCCTTCTCTAGCCCCAGCATCACACTAATCACAGAAGCTATCCTTAGGTTACCTGTATGTAGCTGGGCAGGAAATGATCAACTAGTTCAGCCTCACTTTACAGAGGTCTCTGAGGCAGGCAAGAGGAGGTAGCTCTAGGTACTCATCTAAAATTTTATATAAAAGTAGACATGGATTTTAGTGGGGATTTTAGTAAAAATCTTTCAGGTGATGGATCTTTTGAAGAATTTAGACTCATCAAATCTTCTTTAGATCAGGACCACATTTGATAAAATAAATTTCATTTGTTCTATAGCCAAACTTATACCTTGGAAATTTCACTAGAGTCATCTATACAGAAATGGGTAGATCTTTAGACCCCTTCTTTCATATTGAGTAAGACAGTATTTTGAAAAGTATGTGCATGGCTTTTAAGACCATGAAAAATGAATTTTCTGAATTCTGAAGTTTCAGATTTAATTGGAAAAAAAAACCCAAACCCAAAACAACAGTTCAGATTTCTCCTCACAGTGAACGACTCTTGAAAATTAAAACAAAAGCAGCTATACAGTAGTGTCTGAAGCAGTGCTGCAAAATATGTCTTGCTAACTTCACTCCCAAAATTCTGGGTTTTGTGATGTTTTGCTGAAGGGAGAGGTTTTCTATTCCATGATTTCATCAGAAGCATAGTCTTTACAGCTAGACTCAGGCTGCCATGCATTTTTCTGCTCCTTGTTATAAAGCATCCTGTGGGGAATATGTGGGATCACAAGAAACGATTGGCACAGACATTGTGTCATGCCCACCAGCCATATGTCAGCTCACCAGGGCTGAATTCTCTGGTCTGTTGGCTGGGGAAAGCTATCCCTCCAGAAGGGCATGCAGGTAATCCTTAGTCATGGTCATTAGAGGACTCATCATGTCTCTAGTGGAACATGCTGAAGGCTGGCTTGTTTTGGATAATGTGTCGCTCCCTTGCCTCAAAGCCTTTTTCCCATTGAATAGTCCTGTGCCTCTGTGTTTTTGTAGCTTGCTGTCTGCCTATACATATATGTATATATCAACATATATTACAAAGCACATAAGTGCTATGTAAATACGTGTTCTGTTACTTTTGTTAATGTGGGATACCACTTTGAAACTACAACTAATTTCAGACTCATAGGAGAAAAAGCATCCTTCTAGTAAAGTTAGTCTTGCTTTTACCAAGCCTGGCTCTGGTTGGCTGCCTGCAATATCTGACTGTCTTCTAGAATAAAGTAGCTGAGGGAAATGCTTTTCCCTCCTTTTCCAAGAACAAAAGAAACTCATCAGCTTGGAGCAGCTTTGCTGCTTTCTGAGATCACTATGGCCATTAACTACATTTTGCATTCTCTAGCCAACAAACTGCGGTGTTAATTTTGAATGAGCTAAAGAGGATGTCTGGCTAGGCTAAAGAGGGAGAAGCAGCCGCTGTTGCTCATGCAAGAAAAGTAATGAAGAACTTCATGCGTGGAAGGTCTGAGGAAAGAGCTGGTAAATACTGGGCAGATAGCAGACACATAAAGTGATCACAGATGAGATCTGCAGAACTGATACAAAGACAGAATTCACTGCTGGTTGGTGAAAGTGATAAGGACTCCTGAGCCATGAAAGGGTCAAATTCCATCTGTTGAAAATCAGGATTGTACCTCATTGGTAAGCGTTGTCATGGCCATATCAAAGGCATGAGACCAAATAAAGACCACTTGAGGGGACCTGAGCAAATCACTCCTTTGAAAAGAGAGAAGGCTGTGCCTTTCATTCTATATGTGCTACCATGAGGCAGAGATTTAATGATCTCACATGAAGGCACAGGGCAGCTTGGATTAACACTCTTATTTCGGCAAATCGATGAGATGGTCCCATAGTCACACAGTGCATGTGGCTGGCTGAAACACGTGTTTTATAATGAGGTAGAGAGTCTTGTTCGTTAGATGATAGATGACATCTTGTTCGATAGATTAGACCTGCATTCTTGTTTGTATTCCTGTGGGGAAAGGTGTATG